GAGGGTTGACGGGGTTGGGGGAGAGGGGAAAATGGGTGATGGGCATGGAGGAAGGCACTTGTTGGGATGAGCACTGGGTGTTATATGGAAACCAACCTGACAATAAACTATATTAAAAAATGAATAAAGTAGAAAAAGAAGAAAGTCTTCACTTACCCCCCAAGGAACCAGAAAGTACACAAATCTTCAAAGATATGGTCCTTAATTTACTGTTTCATACCAAAAAATCAAAGTTTTGATTAATATGAATTAATATTATAATGATTTAATAAGAGAAAAATGAAATTCTAAACCTCTTGTTTCCACTATCTTCCTATATACAGCATTAGGAAACCATGAGTTCATTAGCTTAACATTGCAGGTTCCATGTAAGTAATTTATAATTGTGAGCTTAAAACCAGTGGTTATGGAATACAAATCATTTTGCTTATTATTTAAAGTAATAAATACATTCTATCAAAAACACTAATTCCAAAAATATACGCACCCCTGTATTTTTTTCATCATTATTCACAATAGCATGATATGAATGCAAGGCAAGTGTACATTTAGAGATGGATGGATAAAGAAGACATGGTATGTATATTTCAGGTCATAATCTTATGGTTTGTGGGTTTGAGCCCCGCATCGAGCTCTGTGCTGACAGCTCAGAGCCTAGATGGTGCTTCGGATTCTGTGTCTCCCTCTCTGTCTGCCTTTCCCCCATTCACACCCTGTCTCCCTCTGTCTCTTTCTCAAAATATGAATAAACGTTGAAAAAATATTTTTAATATAAAATAATTTTTTAAAAACCATGCTGAGATACCACCTTATACCAGTTAAAATGGCTAAAATCAAAATGACAAAAAATAATAAGTGTTAATAAGAATGTGGAGAAAAAGAAATCCTCATGTACTGTTGGTGGAGATGTAAACTGGTACAACCATGTGGAAAACAGTATGGAGGTTCCTCAAAATATTAAGAATACGAATACTTTGTGATCCAATGATTCTATAATGGGTATTAACCATCCCCCAAAAAAGTTCATTTGAAAAAATACATGCACCTCTATGTTGTTTATTTCCACATTATTTATGATAGCCAAGATATCAACATATGGAGACAATCCAAGTGTGCATCAATAGATTAATGGATGAGGAAGTGGTGAAATTTTATATATATATATATATATATATAATTCCAGAGGTGAAACTATATATATAAAATATATATTCCATACATATAATATATAATATAATTAACATATACTATATTAAGATAATATAATATATAATAATAATGTCATAATATTATTATTATATATATTCCATATATACATATATGGAATAGTACACAACCAAAAAAGTGAAATACTGCCATTTGAGACCACATGGAAGGACATAGAGTGTATCATCCTAAGAGAAATAATTTCAAGAAAGACAAATAACATGATTCTCCTCACAACTGGCTTTTTTAAAAATGAATAAACACAAAGCACAATCACATCTGTAATACAGAGAATAAACTGATGGATGCCAGAGCAGAGGTGGGTGGGGAGATAGGTGAAGAGGAGAGGGAGATACAGACTTTGTTATGGAATAAATAAATCATGGGAATAAAAGACACCAAAGGAACATAGTCAATGATATTGTAATAACACTGTAACAGGAGAGCTGGTAGCTATACTTGTGGTGAACACAGCATTATGTATAAACCTGTCAAATCAGTAAGTTGTACACCTGAAATTAATGTAACATTGTATGACAACTATACTCAAATAATAAAAAAAGCTTAAGAATAACTTGAAAAAGAGAGCATAAGTAAGTTTGTTGAGCACAGAACAGACATTTTCAAGACATAATGAGACCCAGAGTTGGATCACATGGAGTATAGATGTAGTCTGCTGGTTGGAGCTGAGAGGTGACAAAATAAAGGATTTCTGGGAAGACTTTTATATCTGGAAGAGGATTTCATCTGAATTTTTTTTATGTCTTTATTTTATTTTGAGAGACAGAGACAGAGAGCGAGTGGGGGAGGGGCAGCGAGAGGGAGACAGAATCTGAAGCAGGCTCCAGACTCTGAGCTGTCAGCAGAGTCCGAAGTGGGGCTGGAACCCATGGACTGTGAGATCATGACCTGAGCGGAAGACGGACGCTTAACTGACTGAGTCAGCCAGGCGCCCCTCATGTGAATGTTTTCAGAAGAGGGTGGGCAATAGCCTAACACTAAAGTCAGAATGTCGTTTTGTGCTTGTGTTTGTTTACAACAGATTTGGTAACTGTTGAGGACATCTTCATTTCAAAGTTAAGAATAGAAATGCACAACAAAAATAAATGAAAAAAGTTGTTTATTTCTTCATTCTACTTTATATGACTGGAGATGTATAATTTAATAAAGCCTGGGTGCCACCTTCAATGAAAGGTCCACTACCATATAGCTCAGCCCTGGATTTAAAGGGTCTCAAAGGAATTGACAATAAATTATCTCCTGGATGTAGCCTAAGTGCCATGGGCATATTAGGGAAAATAAGTACAGCCAAAGGGATACCAGGTGACCGTATATGCTGGCAGGTACCCTTTTGCATTCACCTCACTCTATCGCTTAGCTTTCTGGAAAGATGCATGTCATGGCATCACTATACATCTGAGTTCATTTCTCCTTGCACCTTTCCTTTCCTGCCCAAGGTCTCTTGGGGGATTTATACAGTGACCAGAGAAGGTAAACTTGTTTTGTCTTTGGATAGTATTCAATCATTCTCTTTTCCAGGGAACTTGTAAATGTTTTAACTGCCAGCCATAAGGCAGTATTCCATAGAAATCACTTAAAGAACTCTCAGGGTTACAAAAGTACTTCTTGACGTTCAGGCCAGAACAAAGTTTATGGTTATATGGAAAGATACAAGTGATCAAGAGAAATTCTTTCACTTAGAGCGGAGGCTATAGAAAGCTTGCATGCAGTCAAGACTGTCTTTTTCTCAGTATGAGAGGCTTTTGCACAATAGAGGCAAGAGTGAACTGATGACAAAGTATCCTGAAGTAGACTATGAATGCATTGGCTCTCACATATTAATAAAATAAAAAAATCTGCGGTTATATTTATGACTGGAATCATTAGACAAATCAAAACATAAGTGCGTTCCAGATTTCTCAGTAAATGTGTTTATCTTTTTCCCATTCCAAAGGTTACTTTGTTGGAATAAAGTATAGTGGTCCCCAATGTGTCACATCAGTATATTTACTAAAACAAATTTTATATTTGAACATTTTTGTCATGATTTAAAATATAGTAACAGTCTGTGCCTTTTGATCTGCCGATTTTGCTGGTATGTTATAAGAAATATGTGTCTGTTCCTCAAGGAAAAGAATGCTGATGGTCAGGAAAAAAGAAAAAAAAAGAAAAAGACACAATATGAGCTTGACAGTTCCTCCCAAAGGCTTACCCAGTTCAGCTCATAGGAAAACAAACAAAAAAACAAACAAACAAACCATACAGCAAATATTTTTGAGGACTTATACCATAGGTAGAATCTGATTGCTAGAAATAAACAGAGAAAAAAAACAGGTAAAGTCATATAGATTACATTTTAGAAATTGCGGTTTCTAGAAAGTAAATTTTACAAAAAAAAATTTATTCTGTATAGTTAGTCTCCTGGAAAGAAGACAATGAGATGTTTTGTTATCAAAAAAATTCCCTTATGAGTTCCTTCTTGCCCTCAGACAAATTTGAGAGCAAAAAAGATATAGTAAATAGTGGAAACAGAAAAACAGAAAGTAGTCAATTGTTAATTTAAATAAGGAACATTAAAATGATATTAATGGAACAGTATGCTGTCAGAATATATTATTGATATAGCTCTACCTATGTGGCTTCAGGGTTTTTTCCCGTAAAGAACTTTACTCTTTTTTATCACTAAGGCAATTCTAATCTAATATTTCCCTGATAGAGAACACATTCATTTCCTCCGCTCATATTTAAAAGAATATATATTAAGAATAATATTAATTATAGCTACTATTAAGCTCAGGAATTGTGATTTGGTCATTAGCTTATACCAAATCTTATAAGACAATAAAGTTTGTAAATGGCATCCAAATTAAAACTCAAAATTAGATATTTTAGTCCTAAGAACAAAGTCTGAGAAGTTGGATAACAATGTCTCAATACCTAAATTATAAATATAATAAATATTGTTGCAGAAACATATTTTATTTGACTCAGGAGACATATCTAGTAAAACATTGTTAAAGATGATGTCAGAGTCATTGCTGCCTCTGCTCCCTTCTAGAATTTTTATGGTTTCAGGTCTCGCCTTTAGCTCTTTAATCCATTTGGATTTTATTTTTGTGTATGGTGTGAGGAAGGGGTGTAGTTTTTTGTTTTTTTTGTTTTTTGTTTTTGTATGTAGCTGATCAGTTTTCCCAATACCATTGGTTGAAGAGACATTCTTTTTCCCAATAGATATTTTTTTCCTGCTTTGTCAAGCCAAGAAACACACTCTTAACTGTAGAGAACAAACTGATGGTTACCAGAGGGGAGGTGGGCAGGGGGATGGGGCAAATAGGTGATGGGGTTTAAGGAGTGCATCTGTCATGATGAGCATAGAGTGATGTATGGAACTCTGGAGCCACTATATTGTACACCTGAAATGAATCTAACAGTGTATGTTAAGTATACTGGAGTTAAAATAAAACTAAAGTGAATAGCTAAATATTAAAGGATATAGTGCACATATAGAAAATTTGGTTACAGGTACAGATGTTATATAAAATCACTAATGAGGGGACTTTTAACATAGATCTGTGAACACATTTTTTCTTTTCAACAGAGGATGTGCAAAATGTTTCTGCTTTAATGGGACTGGATGGATGTTGCAAAAATGCAACAGGATAAAAGTTCCATTGGCTTCATTTCATTGGGGCTAATAGTGCGAACATTTAAAACTTCAATTCCTTTACTAGTCACATAGTCTTTCTGCTTTGGTTTTCAACAGTAGATTTTGCTTAAATAAAATAAAATTCAGTATGAGAAACCATACAGTGATCACAGAGTTTGTTCTCTTGGGCATCTCAGATGACCCAAAGCTTCAAGCTATAATTTTTATCTTTCTGTTTATGGCTTATGTATTAAGTGTCACCGGAAACCTAACCATCATCATCCTCACCTTAACAGACTTCCATCTCAAGACTCCTATGTATTACTTTCTGCGGAATTTCTCCTTCTTAGAAATTACATTCACCAGTGTGTCTATCCCTAGATTTTTGGGGACAATCATTACTAAGGTCAAGACCATTTCCTATAACAATTGTTTAGCTCAACTCTTTTTCTTCATCTTTATGGGTGTATCTGAGTTTTTTCTTCTCACTGCCATGTCTTTTGATCGCTATGTTGCCATCTGCAAGCCTCTTCACTACACCACCATCATGAACAAGAAATTATGCACCTTGCTTGTCTTTGGGTCATGGCTGGGAGGATTTCTTACCATTTTCCCACCACTCATGCTCATCCTCCAGCTGGATTTCTGTGCTTCCAATGTAATTGATCATTTCTCTTGTGTATTTCCCCATTTTACAACTCTCATGCTCAGACACATGGATATTAGAGATGATTGGCTTTTACTTTGCTTTTGTCACTCTGCTCTTCACTTTGGCATTAGTGATTCTTTCCTACATGTGCATCCTTAGCACCATTCTGAGAATCCCGTCTGCGACTCAGAGGAAAAAGGCTTTCTCTACGTGTTCCTCTCACTTGATTGTCATTTCCATCTCTTATGGGAGCTGTATATTCATGTATGTCAAGCCTTCAGCAAACGAAAGAGCATCACTGACCAAAGGAGTAGCTATTCTCAACACCTCAATTGCCCCCATGTTGAACCCTTTTATTTATACCCTGAGGAACCAGCAAGTAAAACAAGCTTTCAAAAATTTGCTTCATAAAGTAGTGTTTTCTAGAAACAAATGAAAATATGTATTAACATGAAAGGATATCATTGGGAAGATCATCACTGGGAAGATCCAATAAAGGAAAAATAAAATTTAGACTTCTACAATATGTCCCCATATCCATCTCACAGATACTTTCAAGGCTGAGCACATTGCTTAAGCTTTCTTGTACACCAAAAGTAACTATGTTGCATCTTTATTTCAAGCTGTCTGTAAGTTCCATTTCCTCACTGTTTTACAATTCTGAATAGAAAGTCAGTGGCTATAAAACATCTCATTTTGCTGATTGCTCCAGATAATAAAAATATTGTATACCAAAATGGCTAATGGAGTAGCAATGTTTTTAAAAAATACTCCTTATATTTTATTTTCTTGTATACTAACATCTGAGTTTCTTTCTTAAAGTTATAAAATATATGAAATATAATATCTGTAACAACCATATTTTTGGATACTATCTGCAGTACCTGTCCAATTCTTTCCAATCTGAAATAGGCTTGAGTGTTTATTTTACTGTTTATAAATTATCTTAAGGCCATATGTGTTTTATATTCTATTTATGCTTAAGGCATACATTATCTTATTTTGTATATTCTCCTTGTTCATATGTATTATCCTGAAAAATATGAGATCGATAAATATTAGGCAGTCACCAAGACACTCCTGATACCTGGGTGTTTGATAAGAATTTCACCAATAATAGCATCTCTTCTGTAGGAAATATTTCTTCTATGCCATATGCTCAATCTGGTATGTCCTAAATCATATCATATTTAGCTGTCACGACTATATGGCAAATTTGAGTGATTATCTCTATTTCACAAATGTGTAAAGTCTATGGTTGAGGAAACTGCCTGAGGTCTTGAGCTACAACAGCCAATGTGATAACCTGATTTGAATAATGAAATAAAAGAAAATGACAAAAACTTGTGTTTGCTCTATTCCATACATTTTTCAAATCTTAGAGACCTGAATATTTTGCATAGCTTTTACTAAGGACCTGCACAATTTTATGGGTGTTTTGTACTCACATTATTTCATTTTGCCATGATTATATGATTATAGTCTGGGGTCAGGGAAGGTACTCATCCCTAATATTATCGTTAGCATATACGTTAGAACATTGATCAATGAAAACAAGAAACTCTTCAACTACCGTTGCTGGTGCCACCAGAGCGAGAAGGACAAAATATGAATAGTAGCAGTATATAGTCCCAAAATCCTCCGTGGAAGGTAGATTAAAGTTAATGGAGTCAATGAATGAATTAATACAATGTGGTAGATTCTCAGTTTTAAAAAATGGCATAGAGTAGAGATGCATTTGGTAGAGATCTGCCATAAGAATGGAGATATTTCATGGTAATCTCTGGAAAATAATCTCTGTTGGTCTCTGTTTCTCAAGAGAAACAAATCACACTAGGAGGATATTTGCTTGTTATTTTTTTCTGTCTCATCGGACACTGTCCCCCAAGCTTCCTTTTCAAATTTCAATACTAATGTGTATTATGTTTTATATTCCTTAGTGTTTTGTGTATAGTCCTATCCTGGCAATTTTGATTCACTGAATTATTCCCCTTGAGTCAGTGGCAAAGAATAGCTAAAACATTAAGTAGCTTATGCCACATAAAATCTGTGTAGAAACTGTACCAGATAGTTTTAAAACACCTTCTGAAATTTTTTCTCTTTTATATATCTGCTCCTTTCTTATTCTCTGTACTCAATCTATTCCCTCTAGCTAAAATGGAAAATTTAAGTCAAAAACATTAACAGTAGAGAGCAAATGTGTTCAGTGAGAGGAACTGTGTTCAGGACACGGATTTCCTTGGATTACAACAATGGAAACCACTAATATTTTTTATATTTCAACCATTCTGTGTGTTAGTGAGCCTGTATGAAATCAGAGGTAAGTAGGACATAGGGGAGGTAATAGTAGTCTCTCAAACCTTATCATTGACTCATTATTTATCAGCTCAATTATTAATCAAATTAAATAAGGTATGTTGGAGTTGTATTTTACAACTGGGTGTATTTATAAATGTAAAGAGATATTATTTTGTTTATTATATAAATTGATTCATTGTCTTAAATAAAAAGCAAAAAATTACCACTCTATGCCTGTGTTTCTAATTTAATATAGACTATGTAGTACTTTAAGAGAACAGACTTTAATTTTAGGTATTCTCTGATTATATTAAACACTTGCTAACTATACAAATATATCTAAGGTATATAACTACACTGACCCTAATGCTTCATTGGGAATAAAGATAAAGTTCCTATCGGTGTGTCCTAATGGTTAAATGAGATAGAATATAAATGTCCTTAGAATGCCATTGGAATCATGGTTTTGCTCAATCACAGTTAACTATGAATATTCTGCCTAGCTAGAAATCAATTTCAACTCAAAGAAAATAAATACACCAGTTCTTAAAGCATAGTAAGTGTCGCATGGTTTACAGAGCACTTGCACTTATATTATTTCAGTTCATTCCCAAGACGCCCTTGAAATTTCAAATCCATGAGAAACAGAGAAAACTGATGCTTAGGGAATTTAAGTAGCTGCCAAAGTCACACTTCAATCAAGCAGCCCATTTGTATTTTGAAATCACATTCTCTAATCGCAGAGCCCATATAATTTCTGTGATAGTAATTTACACTAGACTGTCATGAATCAGAAAACAAGTGGCTTTCTTTTTTTTTTTTTTTTAATGTGTATTTATTTTTGAAGGAAAGACAGGATGTGAGTTGGGGAGGGGCAGAGAGAGACAGAAGGAGACACAGAATCTGAAGCAGGCTCCAGGCTCTGAGCTGTCAGCACAGAGCCCAGTGCAGGGCTCCAACCCACAAACCACGAGATCATGACCTGAGCCTAAGTTGGATGCTTAACCAACTGACCCATCCAGGCAGCTCCAAAAATTAATAGTGTTTGATGCCATAATCTTATTATAATTTTATGTATTTTTCTTCTTTTCCATGCTTATTTTTGTCTAAATTAAGAACTGCAAGTTTGAGGTTAGGAGTTAGTATTTGCCACCAATTCCTACAGGTATTATCTTTCCAGTGACTTACTGGGTTCTCCAGGGGAGTCTTTGCTTTATTCAGACCAAAAGAAGTTCTTAGAGAATGCTTGTGTCACAGCCCAAAGCCCAGCATGATTGAACAGTACAAATAAATGTAGAGTAATTTTGAAGCTGACCTAGATGCTTTCTGCAACATTGATTTAAGCAGTTTTCCTTTCCTCTAACATATCAGCCAAAACTCCGAACAACTCTTTACTTATAAGGTTAAGAGAGAGAGAGAGAGAGAGAGAGAGAGAGAGAGAGTGAAGTGATCATAAAGCACAATGCGTGGAAGCTATGATTCATGAAGTTTCTCTAATGATCTCTAGTGAAGTTTAACTGAATAAAAGCGAATTTAGTAAACATACAATAAATTGAAACAATTAGACTCTCAAAGTTATTGCATTACTAAGGGATATGTCCACTCAGTGCAACTAGGACATTATTAACAACAACAACAACAACAACAACAAAGTGCACCACAAATAAAATGGAATCAGTCTAAGGCTCTTAATCTCTTAAAGGAATATCCTTTGGTCCTTCATATATCCTTTAATACAGAGTCCCTTTCTCATCTTGGGCATCAGAGAAGTCATCAGTTTCTACTTTATCTAAAGGGTCATTGTTAATGCTAAATTGATGATAAGGATTTTGAAAGGGGGGCTTTCAGAATAAAACCTTGAAGGTATTTTGTGGCCATCTTATGCAACAAATATGAAGTATTATTGTTAACTTTCATTTTGAATGTCAATGTTTCTGTCTTAGGAGTCCTTAGAAGGGGTTCTTGATTTTGATTAAATGAGTGGAAGATTATACAGAGATTCACCTAAACCATGTTCTTCCAGGGGGGAATATGAATCTGCATTCAAAAATAAAAAAGATGAGCTAAAGGCTTAGAGATACCCTTCATCCTCCCAAGGATGTATTCATGCCTCAGGGTTGAGGAATCATATGCATCTTTTTAAACACTCAAGTTTATTTCTCTCAAAAGCCTGTTGAATGAATGAAGGAATAACATTCATCAGGCTGAGTTGATGTGGAAAATGAATACAATTCATTGAATTTCCATTAACATCTTTACATAAATAGTATAGTATACTTCCCCAAGTCTGTGATATTGGATCATCTCTTCCTACAGCTTCTTTAAGCATGTTCTCTGGTCCTACAAAACTGGTCTATCAGTACTCATTTTCAGTGATGTTCACATGAACCCTTCCTTACCTATTATAACTTCCTTCATAGCTCTTCATACATTCCTTCAAAGACTTCATCAGTAACCAGAAAGTGTATGTTAGTCATGGTATTATTTTTCAGAAAAGTCTTAAAATTGATAGGAAACATAAGAGAAAAAAGACTATGCAAAAACGTTGAAATAAGAGTAAAAATAGAGTGCATTGATACATTATTAACAATGGAATGGCAATAATGGGTTTTTTAAACCTGGATCTCCAATACCAGTTAAATATTGCATAAATTTCAATCTTGAGATTGAAACCAAATGTTGTCTATTTGATGAGAGTGTATTTGGGGATTTCTAGGTATTATGGAAAAACTACCCCTTTCAAAAAAGTAAACCCTGATGAAAGAAGAGTGGTGGTACAGAGCGGGAATAATGTTAATTGAAGGAATGAATTCTAAAGAAATTTAATGAAAGTAACTTTAAAATAATGCTTTATGAACTTTTCTTTTAAATTGCATATTCAGGGGCAACTGAGTGGCTCTGTGGGTTATGCATCCAATTTTTGGTTTTGGCTCAGGTCATGATCTCATGGCTTCGTGTATTTGAGCCACACACTGATCTCTTTGCTGGCAGTGTGGAGCCTGTTTGGGGTTCTCTCTCTCATGCTCTCTCTGTCCATTCCCCACTTGTGCTGTCTTAGTCTCTAAAAAAATAAATGAATAAACACTAAAAAATAAAAAAAAATGTATACCCAAAAAGTTGGAGTTTCTTTTACGTCTT